AGTAAAAGCGATCTTTGGAGGCAACACCCTTTTTAGTACTTTTCTGTATTTGTTTGTGATTGTGTGACACTGAACCATATATCCTCTGTAACACTCAGATGTTTCCAGATCAATGTTTTCCCCCTGTTTCTCACTATAAAGTCTTACCTCAGTAACAATGAGGCCAATGAGGCACCAGCAGAGCATATCTGGCTCTCAGTCTGTGGCTGATAGTGCCCACTACTGTCAGTTTGCTGGTGTGGCGTATTCAGGTAAGTGGTAACATACTGAGGATTAGAGAAGCAGTTGTTGATACCCACGAATGTGGGAAGGCTTTGAAGTCCATCATTTTACAGCAAGAAAGATTATTCGCAAGTTAAAAAATTCAAAGACTGTTTCCAATCTTACCAGGAGTGGACGTCCCAGAAAATTCACCCCACACATCTGAGGCTCTACAGGCCACAGTTAGCATGCTAAATGTTGGAGTTCATGGCAGTGCAATTAGAAAAAGACTCAACAAATATGGCCTGTTTGGAAAGACTTCCAGGAGAAACCATTTTCCTTCTAAATACAACATGGCAGCATGGGTTAGGTTTGCAAAGTTGAAAACCTAAGCCCTAATGCACAGCTTCAACATTGGTGAAAACCAAACACGGCATATCAGACAAACACCTCATACCAACGGTTTTGCTCGGGTGATGATTATTTGAGCTTTTTTGCTGCCAAAGAACCTGCAAAGTGTCCAGGTCACTGAGTGAGCCATGAAGCACTCTAGAGTCAAAGAGATCATCGTTGGGTCAGTGAGTCCAGAGCGCAGCAGCAAAGCAACAACAGAGTGGTGCTGCAGTGGCTCAAAGTTGAGACTTCAACATGATTGAACGTTAAGAAAGCTGTGAATGAATAAATATCTACAAACTTTAATGAACCGAAGAAACATTGTAAAGACAAACGGGCCAGAAATCCGTCCACACTGCTGTGAAACACTAATAACAAATGATTACCTCGAGTTTTTGCTGCTAAAGTTGGTTCCATCAGCTGCTGAATCACAGGTATAATGATGATGTGGTGTAATAATCTAGATCCAGATCCTTAAAATGCTTTTTCACGTGTCGGCTGACACTTGACACTCTGTGGCTCCTGATTTGTCTGTTGTCAAGGTCTCACCTCAGTGCAATTCCTCACGTTTTGTCACGATTAAAGGATGAATGTGAACACCGCTTCAGTCACTGTGTTCACTTCTTGATATGTCAGAACTGTGCTCACGTCACTCACTTTTTTTAACATGACACACTGCTGTAAACAGAGACCCTGTAATGTTAGCACCAAGTAGGACTTCATAAAAAATAATGCTGTCAAACTAACTTTTCCTCTTTCTGTCTTTTTCAGCACTTTCTATCGCTTTGAGGCAGTGTGGGACAGCTCCCTGCTCAACTGCGTAACTCCCTATGGAGAGAAGATCTACATGACCTTATCTGC